TGCATTTTTAAATACCCATTCAGTTCTTAGCTATTGCTGTTTTCTTTCTCCTTTACTAAGCAGCATGCCAAGGTTGTATTACATATCTGTGTTTAGTTTTATCTCTGTACAATCTACAAGGTAAAAACATGTTTTGGTAAAAACAAATCTCAAAAGCAACTTTAAGAAACATGAAAATTATGAATTGATTCAGTCCTGTTACAGATGTACAGTGTAATAATGTAAACTTCAAAAGTGTTAATAAAAGTTTTCCTTACATACTCATGCAAGGATGTCTGGATTATGGCACAATTATTAGAGGACTGTTAAGATAAAGTGGTCTGTGCTGGTTTCAAAAGGACCACGATGCTTGTAGACAAAGGTGAAGATGCTGTCGGTTGGTCAAATGTCAGTGTGCTGAGAAGATCAAAGACACACTGACTTAAGAAGATAAGTGTAGCATACATTATACAGCAGTTTATACAAGACTATGAGGCGGTGAGAACATCCCATAAGAACCTAATGTGACTAAAACACAACATATTGTATTCAGTCTCAATTTCAACCAGGCCTACAGTGTCAGCACTAGATGACACAAAACAGAGATGATGATGATGATGATATGACCTTGTATTTGCATATTTATGAAAATGCCCTCTCCTGCACTCTGAATTGATTAATAGCTGGTAGAAACTAGAAAAAATGGCTATTACAGTATAAATTGTAAAGTCAAATATGTGACAATAGTAAATACATACCTACAGTTAAACCAAGGCTGAGCCACCACAAAGGAAAAAAATGGATTTCCCTGTCTTTCAAAGACATGAAAATCTAAACAACAACATGCATACTGATTTACAGTATAATACATTTTTACTATGATACTTGATTTTACAAAGCAATTTTTTTTAAAGAAAGCCCTCTGCCCTCCTGCCTTCTTTTAGCTAATGCAGACAGCATATAAACTCATAGGGTTGCACATTAGTTCATTTCATCCACTCCAAATCATTGTTCCAAGGTATTAATGGGACCAAAACAGTCTCTTATCCAGTAAAATTCAAGGGGAGCGCAGCAATTTAGGAATCCACATATGTTATTGTTATGACATATAATATTGCAAATATTGGTAATGAACACCACCAAACATGTTTTAAATATGATGGCAATATACGGTAGGGCTGGGTGATTTGATTTAAATAACTGTCACAATATTAATTCAATTATTTTTATGATATCTCCTAATATCATAAAATAATTACAAATAAAACAATAGAAACTATGTTCAATACATTAAACTGTGTTCAACTGATTTTAAATGTCTTTAACAAAATCTTAATCTCAGATCATCTTCATTTTGAATGTTTCCAAAGAGCATTTTGAAAAACACTAAGAAAATTACAGAACATGCAGTGACAGTAGAAAAACAACCTATCCTTATCACCCAGCCCTACACCCACATAAAAATGTTTTCATCCTCAGATTTAATCTGTGGTGTCACTGGGATGTTCAATCTCAAGCGTAGAAGAAAAGGAGCATGACTGTAAACTCCTACAAGGTCTTTTCCAAACATTTTCATCTCAGAAAGCTGTATAAAACTCTGGTGCTATCAGGTTTGAACTATAAAACACAGCTCTGACCCAGAACATATACTGCAGCAATCACCATCAGTGCCTCATCCAGTCATGATCTGTACATGAGCGACAGCACATTCTGGGATTTTTTTCCATTAAAAACCATGAATGTTAGACCAAACTGCCCTTGTTACATTGAGCCAACACACAAAGTTCAGATTCAGTGCCCTTGTTTTTCATTCTTGAACTCCTTGTAAACATTTGAGTGTTTAGCTGCAGCTCTCACTGTGACCACTAGAATGCAACCTTTTCCAAGAAAACAGCTGCACCAGCTGCTCTTCTGTATATCCCTGATATGTATCACCAACTTCCAGCCTTCATACATTCTGCTGTTGAGAGGAATAATACATTACACAAGCTAAGTAGTACTATACACACACACACACACACATATATATATACAGTGGGAAACTGTAGTAATGTTTGGTATGGCAGTGTACTGTATATACTGGCATGCTTTTGTGTGGTTTATATTTACCACATTTGGGCAGGTTTACAAAGAGATGTTTTCTCCCAGAACATAACTAAAGATCATTTATCCTAGTGTCATCCTATCATCAATCCAAAATCCTGTCTCCACTTTCATTGGACAAATCTGAAGTCTCTTCTTACAGGTTACCCTTCTCAGACAGCCTGAGCTTACATTATGTATATGCTGAGTGATCAATCAATCGAGACAGTAGGGCAGTGATGATTTTTAAGTGGTCCTTCACTGAGTCTTGAGCTGCGCTCCTTGTAGATGCACACAAAGATTTAATGTGCCTCAAGATTAGACGACCGAGCTGAGGATGTTTCACAAAGGGGTGATACAATGTGAGGGATTTACTATGCATTTAATTAATGTGCCCAACATTCAGGCCGTTCACATTCAGTGCGACTTCTCTGGGGTAAATATGCTGTTGTCCATAATAATCATTGTTTGTTTGTGAAATTAGGAATGCTTAAAGCACCTGATAAATATTTTCAGAAATTAGAAAATCAAGTTTAAAGGGTGGTCTTGAAATCATCAAAATAAAACATTCTGTTTATTCTCACAAGTTATATAAAAGCATAATTCTTTTACAGTTCAGGTTTCTTAAAGAATCTGATAATTATGGTCATAATTGTGACCAGTAAGTCCAGTAACTCTACATGATGACATCTTCAATGCAAAACAAATATATCTCTCTTCATTTCACTCACATTGTCTGCTTCTGTAAGGTAAACTCAACTTAAATAAAAAAACAAACAAACCTCAACTTGATTACTTGAGAAGTGTTTGGGTTGTGGTAGGTCCAGCTTTGGCTGCAAAGACAAGATGTGAGGTCATGGCTATTCTGTCTACTCCCCGTGCTCACAGTGCAATTGGTTACTCCATGCCGTTCCGTAGCATCTGATTGGCTGCGATAAGCATGACACTGATGATGAAAGCCATAGCGAAGGCGCAGATCAGGCTTTTCCTGACGCACGTCTGCCGATTCTTCTTCTTAGGATGGACTGGAAGAAGAAGAAAAAATAAATAAAAGACAAGCATTATTCTATTCACAGTTTGTGCCTGGGGAAATACACTTTGATTTGGGAATGTTAGCGAAAATATCCACACCATGCTCATGGCTGTGTGTTATGTATGGCACTAGAGCCAAGAAACAGCTACCTTAATTTAGCCTAAAGGCTAGAAGCAGCCAGGCTGGCTGTATCTGGAGATTAAAAAAAACAAACACCTACCATCACCTCTAATGCTTAGTAACTTAGTGTTATATGTTGCTTCTTTAATATGTATAAATGATTTTCACCCAGTCTTAGAGAGCTTTAGGGGTCCTGATAGGCAGATTCTTTGAACAGAACCAGGCTAACCACCTGACAGCATTAAGCTTAGCACACACTTATCAAAGTCTCATCAATCTCATCTGGCTGTCAGCACGAAAGTGACCTGCATTTGCAAAAATGTAAAATTATAGCTTAAAAACACTAGGCCAAACAATATTCTATAAACGATACAGTTCTATCAGCACATAGATCAGGAAACAACATAGTCATATAATGAGATTTTAGATGAGTAAGCAACATTAAAGCAGAGTCAATCAAAGACCATTCTTTAACAGTGACGGGACTGTGATTTCCTATCCATATATAAACAGTTGTTATCACGTAAATGAAGTTCACGTAATGACTCCTGAGCCACCTCCATTAGCTGAGCAGCTATACAGCTTTGAAACTGTTAGTAAATGGACCATTGAGTTTAAACTGTTTTGTCACACAGTGTTTCCAAAATGAATGAACTCATGCGCATGTGAAAAAAAAAACAACTCAATACAGTGATAAATAAGCTCTACAGACATGGCCATAGTCCTCAAAGTCCCCTCTGTTGTGCCTTTGTTTATAAATCTGATTCTTACTGAGTGAATTTTAATCTGTTTCTCTTAGTGCACCTTTGTTCATTGGCCCTCACAAATATGGAAGAAGTTGCAGACAACATTTATAGTTGCCAGGTTTATTTCTGTGATCCAGATTATCAGTAAAAATGATGAATACATGACAAGCACAAATTAGATCCAATGCTTCTTCTACAACAGCAAAATCAAAGACAGGTGAGTGAGGTGGAGCTTTTGTTTTGCTATCTGTTTAGACTGAAAAGCTTCTTTTTCCCCAAAAAACATAATCTCTGAAGACTGAAAGAGGAAGAGGAGTGGAGACAGATGTGTCCTCCAACAGGCCTTGCAGCAAGAGCAACAACCGAAAGTTATGTCTCTGTCAGCCCCCTTGTCTCAGTTTGTTAGAATCACATGCTGCATCAATAAATCAAGTTGAGTCTAAGTCGCGGATCTAAAAGGAACCATGAAAGGAGTTGAAGTCCCACTGGATAGGAAGAAAATGGAATGCAGACATGAAAGAGGGAAGTCGAGGATGTGGAAAGAGGGTTAAATGTGGGGAGGCATACAGCTGGCGTTAACTAGAGAGGCTCTATACCTCTTCTTCACTTCTTTACCCTACCCCCTGCCCACTATTTCTATTTCTCCATCATTATTGTGTTTCTTTTCCTCTCCCTAACACTAGAGCATGCTCTTTCCTCAACACTAGAGACTTGTGAAAAAGAGTGCAAAGCCAGCAGTTCCCTGATGCGTTCTTTAGTCTCTTATCTCCTCCTTCACTGTCCCCCAGATTTTCCATTTCCTCCCAGCTGTCTCATTTTAGGGCTTCCTCAGCCTGTAACCCAGTACCCAGTAGATTCATTAAGACTTCCTAGTTTTGTAGCATGTTTGATCTGTCTTCACCATTGACTTTGTGGATATTTCACAGTAGAAAGGCAATTTCTAGCTCTGTACCATAACTAACACAGGGTCTTTATTGTCCCCTTCTCCTTAAAGAAACATAGCTTAGCTGTATGTCTCAGAAGAAATGGGCACGTGAACATTACATGAACTCTCTTATTCTTGGCTTTGAAAATCAAAGAAATAATTATTATTACCTTTGTAGTCTTAATCCTTCCAACTAAGTACTGTTTGGTCTTAAAGACTGCAAATAGTCAGCACCAGGCTTATTTGATTTGGAGATGAGGGCAGGAATTTAGCGCTGTGGAAACAGTTTGGTTTAGCCCTGCTTCCAGTCTTTAAGCTCAGCTAAGCCACCTACAGTACTTCTTGGCTTTAGCTTCGTACCAAGCACACAGATATCAGAGTGACACCGATCTTCTGATTTAACTCTCAGCAAAAAGTGTATTATAAGATTTAGGTGTGGAATGATTGGCTCACTGATATTTACTTAGCTCAGTGTCAAACTATTGTATGAATGATCATGGATTACAGTACAAAGCCATTTTTCTAAGCACAGGTATTTATAATAGTTTTCATAAGAACAGCTTCCTCACCTCCCTCATACTCAGGGCAGTTCCCTGAGGTTTCATTGAGGCTCTCTTCCTCAGTGATGATGATGTTCTCTATGTCTTTCATCGTCAGGTGGTCCCGGAAGGCGTGGAACAGCACCTGCTTCAGCTCATCCAGAGACAGCTGCTGCATGTCAAACTGCAGGGGCACACAGCGATCAATGCAAAGGCACAGTCATCCACACACTGGCGTTATGAGGGCAGATAAATATAGAAGATAAAAATGAGGTGTGAAATGTACAAACTGCGAGAAATTATGGCATGTATGGCATGAATTTGGAATTTCATACAGAGGGTACAGTATGTGGGTAAGAAAGGTGTCAGGTGTAATGTAATTGCAGCATGTTTGCCTGTGCATCACTGGTGCTATTTTGGGTGTCTGCATCAGTATGGAAACCTGTGTGTGTGCAACGATATAGTGGATAAATGTGTTCAAGCACAGTCGGTTTATTGGATATATCAATAAAAATGAAAATACTAGTACATTTATGTACTTCACTTTAGGTAGCTATGTGTCGGCGTTTCAGCTAAGAGACTCTGACCAATCACTGCCATGAGGTTGGAATCTTAGCTTCTGTCCTATTCCCCGTCTGTTCTTCTAAAACATTACATTCCTGTTCCCCCAGCAATTTCCCCCCTGCAATCCGTACACACGTCATACACATACATAGCTTCTACATCTTGAGTATTTACCTCACCGAGAGCCTCACCATCATCACTTGGTTTAGCACAACAGATGGACATACTGAGCCAGGCAATGCAAAGAGGAAGAAAATAAGAGGTTGACAGAGAGAGGAAAGCGACACTGTAAGATGGGAAAATAGGAAAGTATGGTGAGGTCAGAGAAAACTGAGATGAAGGAAGTAGTGGGAGACAGATGGAGAAAACAGAACTGGCTGACAATGGCGGTAGAGACATGAAGTGGTTATGATGGTGAAGAAGAGATGCTCATTTTAGTGAAGGGATGATAATCCTGTTTGTGCTTTTTGTCTTGGTTACTGAATGCTAAACAGCATCTTTCATGCTCAACTAGCTCAATAACAAATGTTATTAAAAGGAAATGAGGGGTTAAAAATTGCATTACTAGTTGGACTGGGTATCAAACCACAATATTGGTGCTGACCAGAATACAACCATCAATATGAAACTTGACAGTGAATGCCTGATCAGAAATCTAGTATATCTTTTCTTTAAGGGTATAGCTTGACATGGCTGTCTGCTTTCTTGCTGAAAGTTGGATGAGAAGATTGATGCCAGGCTCTGTCCATCGAATATGAGGCTACTATCAGGAAATGGTTAGCTTAGCTTAGCACAAAGACCTGAAACTGTTAGCTTAGTTCTATCCAAAGTTACTTGTAAAATGTTTAAATTAAAACATTAGGCTACATCTTATCCATTGGATTCATATAACAATCTCCAGCCTTTATGTTAAGCTACACTAACAGCTTGCTGACTGGCTAGCTGATCAGCAAAATGTTGAACAATTCCTTTATCCAGATACTTATTGAATTTTATAGCATCATTTTAGAGCTGTAATCAGGTTCTTAATTGCTTATGATAATGAACAACATTTGAAACCAGTTGTGTAAAAAACATTTCTTAGAATGAGTGGACTGAAACCCAGATAGTAATACATACACTAATAGAAATGTGTGATATCACTTTCAAATATGCATGCACACATGCAAACACAAAACTTATGTATGCACTAGACCTAGGATATTGAGTTGGGTCTTCATATATTTGCAGTGTGCACTGATGTGCAGCCAAAGCTCCAAATGTGTATTGATCCATTCTAACCATTCATGCTGCGTTTCCTGGTGATTTACACTGCAATTATGGAAACATATAGATGGACACACAAACACCACCACACACACATACAGGAATACAATCAACATTAAAAGCAAACCTGGGACATTGCAGTAAATAGAATAAATGTACACACAAAGACAAACTCATTAAATCACAGACCCACATACACACATGCAGTCTATTTGGTAGCTAAGGTAAAAGAAAACAACCCAAAGGAACAGGGAATCTATATTCACAATTTGACAAACTTAGATTAACAGTGTGAAAGGACTCATTTTAACCCTGAGGCTGTCTAAAGTGACAGGCATGGAGACAATGTAGGGATGGTCCAAAACAACACATGACATTCAAAATTGCAGCATCATAAGACATAAGCACCTTAGCCAGAGTAAAAACAACTCCACCACTAAAATGTAAGGGTTGGAACCTACATGGACTAACACAAGACAGTTTAATCTCAGGTATTAATATTTTCTGATGCTGTTTAAGGTTTGTCAGTAATGTTTGTAAAGACAACTGCAGACACTCAGGCAGCAGAGCAGGGAGCGGGAGCAGAGCTGCCAAAATTCTGCTCTCCTCTTTGTCAAAGCTGTCTCTGCTTTGAATGGATGCAAACAGCTCTTTGGACTGTAGCAGCAGGTCAGACAACATGACAGCTCAGGACAGCAGCACAGAGACTTACAATGTTCCTGTCTGTCTGAGGGGAGAAACTCACTGTGGAGATGCTACCTGTTACCAACTAGCAAAGGGATTTCTCCTCCCGCACTGTCTCCGAAGGACACTGACATCTACACAAACACACACAGGGGAGATGAAGACTTGAAAGTTTGTCTGTCAGGACATTTTCTTTCATTGAATCAACTCAAATACAATATGTGATGTGTGCATATATGTGTGCATGTGAGTGTGACAGAAAAACAGCAGGGGATTGTGAGAGTACTGAAGGAGCCAGACTACATTATTCAGAGGAACAGGTGTTAATCCTGCATGACCTGCTTTGTCTCCTGGCCCTTCTCTAAAAAGTCACCCAGAGTGTCAACCTGGAAGCATCACCTGTTCTGTACTCTTCCCCTTCCTATTTTTATGTCTTGTAGCAGTGCTGTCACACACACACACACACACACACACACACACACACACAAAGGAAAGACCAGAGTAAAACAGCATTAAGATAATTTTTTTTTTTTACCAGCAAAAGCAGAGCCTACAGGCAGCTACACATGTATAACAGATACATTTGATCCACAGAAACAGAACCAGTTCTAACCATTTACTGTAAAATGATGGACAGGCTGAGAGCTCCCAGAAATGAAACCACCATGTCTTGATTGCCCCTGGTGGCTGGTTGCAGTATAGGTCATAAATAATAGGGTAGGGGGGGCTGGGCATTGGGCAAGGTACACCCTGGACAGGTTGCCAGTCTATCACAGGGCTGATACATAGACAAAGAACCACTCATATTCACACTCACTTTCCAAAGACTGTGGGAGGTAGCCAGAGTACCTGGTGAGAACCCACACAGGCACAGGGAGAACATGCAAACTCCACACAAAAAGGCTCCCTGTTGGCCCGGGCTCAAACCCAGAACCTTCTTGCTATGAGGCAACAGTGCTAGCCACTCCTCCATTGTCTGCAACTATGTGTAGGAATCGATGCATACCTACGCTGCGAAAGGGTTATGGGTAAACATACATTGCTGATGATATTTTTTTCTGGTAAGTTTGTTTTTAATAAAATAATTGATGATATAAAAATAGATGTGTGTTGTTTGACTTGACAGTTCTGATTGGCAATCTGATTCTATTACTCCACTTCTCATCGCTACTGCACAGAATCTGGTTGCAATTAAGGACCACTCCTGAAAATATTAACAAATTTTGTCACTATAAAGGAAAATGCTCCACAGTTGCAGTTTACAGTCGATGAGACCAAAGAGGCTGTAATTCCAGACACCACTGTTAAAATAAAGGCACTCATGGTGTTGTAATTTGGATGAAACCATCCACCAAATGGCAGTTATTATATAACAGAGACACACCATGTTTTTTTTTAAATTACTCCACATTTGGCATCACTGGTCACCAGTATGAACACTGCAGACTGTCTCAGCAGATGGAGATGGCAGTGATACACTTGTCACTGACTGACTGTTTTATCCTGCCTCCTTCAGCCTTCTTTTCAGTTTTCATTGACAAAAACACTGACAGGTGATTGAGATTAAATGAAAAAAACAACAACTACTAGTTAATGGTAGAAATGTTTTCATTTAAAAACTTCATATAACTTTGACTTAATATTTACTATGCAACTTTTGAAATGAATGAATAGAGATGAGTGTGACAGATTGGAAAACTCAAGCATATAAAATGAGTCTGCCACTGGTTTTTACACTAAAAAATAAATAGAGTGGTTTCACCAGAAAGAAAAAAATGATGTCATCAGTTGCTCAAGTGTTGAAAATGACTTATGGTTTATTTATTTCTGACATGCAATCTCTTGCAGTCATACAAATAATGAATTATTTACACATTATTGTCAAAAATTATTGACAAAAGGTGTTGGTCACATGTGAGGGTTCAAAGACAAGTAACGACTCTCACCAATACCAGACCCTAACAACTCAGTCATTAGAGGACATTGTTGGTCTTCGAAGGACTGAAACACCACCAGTTGGACAGAACTGATGAAGCCTCTTGGATGAGAGGTGAAACATCTCCTACCTAACGCTATGTCCAGATGATTTCTTCTACGTTTTTTTCAGTTTAATGAGGGAGGAGACACAAATGTCATTTCAAAAATTTCTAACCAAGTAATGTAACTTTATGTAATAAAGAAAACATATCAGTCACAAATGAATAAAGACAGTGTTCTTGGGATGAACCTTCAAGATGTTGTAAATGGGGTTAAACATGCTTTGCCTTATCGTGGTAGTAGCTCAGGTTGGCCATTAATCATAGCCCAGTAACAATTCTTCAAGTGTCCTTGAGCGACAACCCTAAAACTGCTTCTTGCATTTGCAGAAAACATTTGTAGCCCATGTGGGACATAGAGCATCCACTAAATGAATGTAATATAAGACTAACTACTGTCAACAACATTTTTCAGCTGTTGGAAAATGATAAACAATCTGCAGACCTTACTCCTGGACACAACCAGACATACAGTATTTTTTATAGGCACTCATAAACACTGTTAAGAACTATATATGTAAAAATTGTAGTTTTTACTGCACCTGAAACTTAGTGACTTTAGGCATTGCAGCTTAATTTGCCATGGAAACCTGAGTATTTCCTTTTTCAAATCTAACTTACTGACTGTCAGCAGAAATATGCAAACTTAACTCTTTTCCAAAGCACATATCTGTATCTCTCGAGGTTTAACTCAGGTCATGCTACAATAAAAAATAAACAGAAAATCAAGTGTTTCTCTGATGTTTCAATACAATAATAATTTATGCAAGACACACATGCAAATGTGCACACTATGTAAAATGTAATTACACACAAAACGTGCCAACACCAGTCTCTCCAGTGGAGCTGATCATTATACATTTCACCATATGTGAATATTATCTGAGGAATTATGATGTGCCTCCATCTCTTACATCTTTTCAACACAATGACTCTTGAAATATAAATGGACACACACAAAGTGTCGCTCTCACAATCCTCCTAGACGTACTTCCTCCCACCATTTCACCTGCTCCCCTTCTTCTTCCTCCTCCTCCTCTCTCTTCCTAGTTTTTCTCTTTGATTTTATTTTATCATTCCCTCTCTCCTCTCCTGCCTCTCTCCTCTTCCATCTCTCATTTTTCCATATCCCGTCTTCCTGTTTTCTTTTGGCCTGTCTCTCTCTCTTTGTGGTAGAGCAACATTTGAAATCACCCCTGAGACTCACGCTGTCTGCGACCTTCGTGAATCACAGCCTCTCATACCTCTTCTTTCATTTTCTCCCACTCTCCTCCTTTGTGCTTTACCTTTATATTCCTGTATCTTTATGTGGGGCACCCCCACCACCCTTCCCTTCACCACATTCTGTCCAGCTTGCCTCTCTATTCTCTCATCTCTTTCATCCTTGCTGGCTGGTGCACTGACGCCTGTCCTGCTCCATCTCTCTGCCATAGATTTGATGTGTCTTATTTAAAAAAGGTGTTTTATTACACAGTTTAGAAAAAAAATGACCCTGATGTTAAAATTAACAAATTTTGGCATTGATTGTATTTATTTTCTGATATATGAATGGCATAGGTGGTTGTTTTTTTTTTTTTTTTTAAATATGTTCTGCACAATGAAATCTTGGATGAATAATTTCTGTGTAAATGCAGCCCAGTACTGTATGTGTTTGTAACCTGAAACATACACCTCCACATTTCTGTGAGTCACCATCTAAATGTTTCTCCTCTCATTTGACTCAAGGACAGAAAGCTTCCTGAGAGCCGTCACCCTGCTCAACCAGCCGTCTTCACACTCAGTATACACATACACACTCAAAACTCTGCTTGTTTTATTGTTGCCACACGTCTTGCCTTAGAGAACACCCTGGGAGAAGAAAAGTTTATGTCTGGAATAGTTTTCAGAAACAAAGTAAACACGTTCAAAAGCATGAAGATGAGCTGAAGCCTTAATCACCAGTGAGGCCAGTTTGGACACTTTGAACACGCGCACAGACTTTCCACATCTCTGAAATCTTTATTATGGTAATAGTTCTACAATACTGTGAGGTAGAAACACATGTGCACATCCTTACCCAAAAACATACAGGTACTCACATAAAGAAACAAACTTAATTCTCAGCAGGTCTCTTTACCTTCAAGACCTGTTAGAAAGTCTGTTTTTGTCAGAGAACTGAAAAAAACCAGGAGGGTTCGGGGTGCTGAGAGGGTGTTTATGTGTGTGTGTGTGTGTGTGTGTGTGTGTGCATTTTTGCACTTAAGTAGGTGTGTGTCTGTGCCTGCAGAAACTGGGGCTGTGCTTAAGGATGTAAGACTTGTTCTGACTGCTGAAATGCACAGGTGAGGCAGAGAAGGCAGAAGAACTGATGAATGATCAGAAGTGTGAATGATGAGAAACAGATTGTCCTGCCAGCTGGGAGGAAGAAGCTTTGTCTCTCACCTGCCAGAATATATTGTCGATGGTGTTGCCCAGGAATCCCTCTCTGTTGTCAGATGACAGCAGTTTGGGCCCCAGTATTGTCATGAACTCCTCAAAGTCCACCTGGCCGTCCCCTGCAGGCCGACACACACCGGAGGCCGAGAGACAGACAAAGTCAGATAGACAGAAAAGTCTGGCATACCGGAGCTAAATAATGCAGTTTATGCTGAAATGGATTTATTTGCAGAAGCAAGAGGATGGATCAGCAGATGGATGTGCCTTCACCCATGACAAACACCCATGCATCATCAGCACTAATTCATCTTTCAAATCAGGTGTGTGCACCTGTGCAAGTGTATGCCTGTGCATAAGCAATTGTAGGATTGTTTTTGCAATAACTCAGGGAGCATTTCACAAATTTAAATTCAAAGGACGCAACTTGTACGAGTTTGCATTATGTATTCTACTGGTGCATGCTGCTAGAGATTGCAATCAGCCGCCAGTGTCCTGTGGAATGAATACTTAGCGTACATCTCCACAACAACTGTCTTATAAACTGAGATACTGCATAGACTCATTACACTACATGTTGCCAATATTTATCTGACCATTTCAATAACAGTTTACAGCATTATCTGATGCTATAATCTAATGTAGTAGGACAACACTTTATTTTATGGGTCTGTAATTTATGAATAATTTTAAAGAGGTTCCGTCAAAAAAAATGATTAAAGTTGATACTAATTAAATGGAAAATCAAGTTAGTATAATGAACTCTAACCACTTGCTGTGTAACCTAGACAGTCTTAATCAGTGCACAGGAGGTCATCTGAACATGCAAAATGTGAAACTTGTGAAACTAGGCAATTACTGATTTATAAAATATAGCACTGCCCCGTATTATACAGTGGCAAGAAAAAGTATGTGAACCTTTTGAAATTTTATGGTTTTCTGCATTAATTTGTCATAAAATGTGATCTGATCTTCATCTACAGTAAGTCAAGAGTATTGACAAATATAATGTGCCTAAAATAATAACACAAAAAAACAAATTCTGATCTTTCATGTCTTTATTGCAAACAACCATAAAAATCCCATAGTGCTAGTGGAAAAAGTATGTGAAAAGTATGTTAATCACCTCAAAAAAGCTAATTGGAGTCAGGTGTTAGCATACCTGGAGTTTTGTTAAGAAAATGAGTTTGGAGGTGTGGACTAGAGCTACTTTGACTGATAAAAACCACTCAAACCTTTTGAGTTTGCTCCGCACAAGAAGAATATGCTTATGTGAGCCATGCCTTGCCAAAAAGAGCTTTCAGAGGATCTATGATCAAGAATTGTTGATTTACATAAAGGTGGAAAGGGTTATAAAGTGATTTCAAAGACTTTAGAAATTCACCAGTCTATAGTTAGGCAAACGATCTACAAATGAAGACACTTTGGGACTGTGGCTACTCTACCAAGAGGTGGGCACTCAGTCAAAATGACCCCAAGAGCACAACGAAGACTCATCAACGAGATAAAGAAACAACCACAAGTGGCAACCAAAGATTTAAAGGCGTCATTGGAACTGGATAACATCTGTGTTCATGAGTCTACAGTATGTAAAACACTGAACAAGCAGGGTGTCTATGGCAGGACACCATGAAGGAAGCCGCTGCTTACTAAAAAGAACATTGCTGCAGGCCTGAAATTTGCAAAAGAGCACATTGACACTCCACAGTGTTATTGGCAAAATGTGTGTTGGACTGATGAAACTAAAACTGAACTATTTGGAAGGAACATGCAGCACTACATCTGGTGTAAAAAGAGCACTGCAGATCATCATGAAATCATCATCCCAACCGTAAAGTATGGTGGAGGAAATATCATGATTTGGGCCTGCTTTGCTGCATCAGGGCCTGGCCAGCTTGCAATCATTGAGGGGAAGATGAATTCCCAAGTGTATCAAAAACTTTTTCAGGATAATGTGAGAATGTCTGTACATCAGCTGAACCTCTGTAGAGGTTCGGTGATGAAACAGGACAATGACCCAAAACACCGGAGCAAGTCCACAACAGAATGGCTTCAGAAAAACAAAATCCACCATCAGAGCCCAGACCTCAACCCAATAGAGATGCTATGGAATGACTTCAAGAGAGGCATACACATGAGACGTCCAAAGAATATGACAGAGCTAAAACAGTTCTGCCAGGAAGAATGGGCTAAAATTCCTCCTGAACAATGTGCAGGTCTGATCCACAGCTACAGGAAGCGCCTGGTTGAGGTTATTGCTGCCAAGGAGGGGGGTTCAACCAGTTATTAATTCCAAGGGTTCACTTACTTTTTCCACTACCATTTTGAATGTTGAATGAGTGTTATCAATAAAGACATGATGATCAGAATTTTTTTGTGTTATTATTTTAGGCACATTATATTTGTCAATACTCTTGACTTAGATGAAGATCAGATCACATTTTATGACAAATTAATGCAGAAAACCTTGAAATTCCAAAAGGTTCACATACCTTTTCTTGCGACTGTAGTATATTATTAGCAACAAAGAACATTAGTTGTCTCTTCTGAAACCAGTAACTGCAGTTTTTAAGAATGCAGCTATTACCAACATAATTTTATACGTTGCCTAAAGTCTGAACAATGGGTAGGAAGATCAGTTAAGATCAGTGGATTAAGATGTATTAGAGTGGGATTTAATGATGTAAAATGAATCATCTGAAGGATTATGCAGTTTGTCTAACACCTGATAATAACTGACATTCTCAAACTAATTGTGCCAGTGATCGCTTTCAGTGCTTTGCTAGCAATGACATCAAGATGATAGAAGTCAGAGAGAGGTACTGTCTCTCCTCACAACAAATGGCAGCGGAACTCTCAGATGCCTTTTAGCTTTGACCTTTGATATTTACTATGAGCTGTGGATTCAAGAGAAGGCAGATACGACCCAGCTGAAAGACTAACTAGCTTGTTTGTGATTCAGGGGCTGCTTCAGAGTAATTGCTGTCCTCTAAGAATTTACAAGCAGAGCTAGAGTTTAAGGAGCAGGAGCAGAAAGGTTGTTTCTTTATTGTCTCTGGCAAAATTTGCTTTTGACACTGGCTACCTGCTACTCAATTAGAATCATTTTTTGAGGAACATTTTAAAGGAAGCTGTAACTCAAAGTCCCATTTGGCTTCAAAGAAGTGAAACAGGCATTAAGTTTTTTGCTTCTGGCATCTTTTAACAGTGTTTTTCATTTACATCCCATTAAAACTCAACACACAAAAACACTTATATGATCTGCTTTGCTCAGAAGAAAAATATTCTTCAGGCTTGTACACATATTAAATGAACACAACTACAAACAAACATTATACACATGCTGAGTTTTAAACATGCACCCATGTGTGTGTCCTTATGTAGTGCCTCACCATCCATGTCCAGTCTCTGCATGATGATGGCCAGCTCCACCTCACTGGGCATGTAACCCAGGGAGCGCATGGCCATGCCCAGCTCCTGTTTAGAGATGAAACCATTCCCATCACGATCCAAAACACGAAACGCCTCACGTATCTCTGCATGGCAAACACACAACATATCACAGTACATTTCTGTCTCTCTGTCCTGCCCCTTTCTTTCTTTCCTTAGAGGAAAAGCACATGCTTAAAAACATGAAAACATAACCTATGTATCCTACTGTTAGAGATAATTTTGGTCAGTTTTCATTCTGTGTGAATTTTTCACATTCTCCCTCTGCCTGCATGGGTTCTCTTTGGGTAATCCGGCTTCCTGCCACAGTCTAAAGACACGCAGCTCCGGTTGACTGGTGATTCAAAACTGTGCCACAGGATTGATTCAGGAAGGGCATCCAGCATAAAAACTGTGCAGGCTACAGTGCTCTGCTGTGGTGACCCCCGACACAATGGGGAGTAGCCCAGAGAGGAACAACACCATGCAGTGTATATACATAAATCCTTTCTCACCCCTAGGAGTGTTATATGTCTCCTTTGGGTTCCTAGTACTGCACTGATGTTTCTTGGGATCTGTTGGGATCTGTTGGGATCTTCTAAGATGGGATCTCTCCTATCTTAGAAGTCATAGCCCCGAGTGCTCCTACCACCACTGGGGACACAGTGGCCTTCACTACAGTTCCTCCTTCAGGCCTTGGTACTTCTCCAGTTTCTCATACTTCTGTCACTTGGGACCAATATGTTTATCACCACTGCTGACTTCTGTTCCCTGTTTATTATGCCTGGTTAGTTAGCCAGAACCTTCCTGTCCATCTGGATCTGGAAGTCCCACGGGATCTTTGCCCTGTCATTCTCCACAACCTTCAGAGGACTCTCCCATCTGGTCCTGGGAGAGTCTAGCCCATACTCAGTGCAGATGTTCAGTGCGGCTTGGTTGCGCCGTTTGGTGTGTGCAGTTCATGCCAGCATTTTGCACCCTGGCACTATGTGTTGAACTGTCACTGAGGCCTCGCTGCACAGTCTTGGGACTTAGGCAAGACTCCATAATGCTTCACACTGCCTTTTCTCTGATATGAGAGTGACAGGAACTAAGACAGTCAGGACAATCTGACGATGACTGGGCTACCAGAACAAATCATTCTTAGACAAGAGGTGAGAACCTGGATCTGATATATAAACAGCATTTTATAATAATAGTAGGGTGAATGCTTTTATTTTCTATTTGAAGTTCAATGTGTCATTTGTTCACTGATGTGTGGGTTTCTGGGTATTTGAGGAAAAGACTGGCAGGTGTGTTTTCACCTCTCCTCTACTTCCTGTTTTAGTTTACGCTGTCTGTTTTGGATGTCTTAAAGGTCAGCGGCTGATCATAGCAAATATCTGGTAATCTCTTTTAAATTGCCATTAAAAACCCACAGCCAGGACTTAATTAACTGAGTGACTTTTCTGGTCTTTCATCTCTGTGTCTGTGTGTGTTTGTGTATTTGTGGAAAAGAGGCATATTTCCTATTTTATTCATTTCCTATAGTAATTGAGAGGTTGTGAGTGACTCTCTGAAACATTTGTCCTATTATAAAGAAAATTATTTTGAATTTTTTGTACAAGTGCATTAATCCTGATTTGTAATCTTTTTTGTGGGGTCATTACAACAAGATTTAACAATTGCAGTATTCCTTGTTTCTTCATACACTTAAAATGACATATGTTTACATTTTCCTGGCAAAGAGTTGTTATGGTTGTGTGAAAAATGTCCATTGTCTGTCAGGAGCACAGGAAAAAGAAGCACGATGTTGTCACAGTGTTGCAAGAGCTCTTAGGGAGGAGGCTAAAGTGGATGTGGTGCGGCTTTGACACTGGACACCTTGATGTGCATCCCGTCTCATACCTCTGTTCAGTATGGTTTCGTTCAATCATTACTACAATCATTCTTTAACCCGAAGCTGCTATAATTAATAGTTTTATATCCACAATGGATTAAATGACTACTTGTAAGTTAAAGAGGTCACTCATAGAGAATTAGTATGTACTTGACTCTGCAGTTCTCCTCAAATATAAAGTTTCATCTCAGTGTTTTCGTTTTCCGGCCCATAACTTTGCTGTTTTGTTTCAGCTTCTCTGCTCTCATTCCCAGGATTTCCCCTGGGGGATTAATAAAGTACTCTATCTATCTATCTGTTTAGCTTCTCTGTAGCCGCAGTAGTGATAAAGGTCCTAAAACCCACTGCATGCTGCCTGCTCAGCACCAAGTCAAGTGACCAAAAAAATCATTTAATGCAGGTTTAAGCCTTTGGGTTTTGCAGCTAACCAAACTGTAAAGGTCATAGATCATAATTACATGAGTGATAACAACAGCTTCTTGACATATCAGAAAATATTCACATGCATTGTTTTGGATGGTGATGACGAGTGACCTACTTGCTGTTAAAGTTGGAGAATTTTTAATCATAAAAACTCCTTCACAGTGTTTCAGTTGTATGATTGTCTCTTCAACCTCATAAAATGTTATCCTATCATGTAACAGCCATTAGATGGTGTCACTGAGTTTAGCCCATGAGAGTAAACCATGACATGAAATGAATGATAGACAGATTTTAGCAAGTTGATAGCTGATGCTGGCAACAGGGTTTCCTATTAACTGGAAGTGCTTTCTTGCAAGATGAGTGTGATCTCCTGCTCTTCCTCCCTCTCTTTCATTGTGTTTATTACATCTTTATACACCTATTGCATTTTACAAACCCCGAGGGGCCTGTCCCAGTCCTTCCACACAGTACAATCACCACCAGCACTGCCAAGAGCATTTCCGATTCTCTCCTCCCACATAAAATGCTTCCTTCTAACTTGAGATTGTAAGTACACACACACACACACATAGCTCATAAAGCTTCTATTTGTTCATGCAGCAGGATCACTCAAACCTCTGAGGACCTTCTTATAAAATACCCCGGTCAATCTCTGGCTAATTACCTGTCAGTCAGTCAGTACTATCACAGTGGAGATGGGGGTAGATTGTAGGGAAGCGATCAAATTTATCAGTATGATTAAGACAGCAGAGACAGTACAGACTTCACAAGTCTTTACTCAACATCTTTTCTCCGTTTTCCCGTTGAGCTCTGCACTTCAGGGGTGGGAGAGGGTGTCATTTGTGCTAGCGTTTGGCATTTGTGCAAATCTTTCCAGGAGAATCACAATCAAGAAGAATAATAGGCTGTCGCATGATGGAATTTAAATCACAATTTTCCCACGACTAATCCTTTTCCTCATTTAAACACTGAATTTGACATGAAATTCATCTCCCTCTGTTTCACTCAGGCTGTGTGTTATTAATATTCTCCTCCTAACGTTCTGCTCCTGCTTTCTTCTATGTATTAAGGTCATATCAGATCAGCCTCCTATGTCTGTCTTTACTCTTTCAGTTGCATGAGGGCTCAAATTCAGTCACAACCCCCATCTAAGCCTGTAAATATCACTTAAGGATGATAGCTAGGGTACCATGCCACTGCCTCCCTTCTCCTCTCACTAAATAAAGCGTGAATCAGAGGCGAGGGATTGGACATGCGGGTGAAAGTGTGGTCTCCCAAAACAAAGTGAAATGTATTTGTATGCAGCTCAGCAGTGGTGAGTCTATTTTCAATAGCGTTGGAATGAGTCGGCCCCTGATGTATTACAGTGCAATGCCTGTTTGTGTTTGTATGAGCATGTAGAGCTGCCTGTGTAACACAAAGTCAACCCCTTAGGACTGTACATGTTCTCACTGTGATTGATGAAATACCTCAAAACCAGAGAAGAGGGCAGTGGCAATCCAACATAGGGATGATTAACTAGCCTTCTATCTGTGCTAACAGATGATCCTACAACAACCTTCAGCATCTCTCTGAAGTAGGATTATAGGTTTTCAAATGCTGGCAGCAAATACCACGGATATTCTATCCACATCAAACAATCAATCCCATTGGCTGCACTGGATCTGTGGCTGACAGGGCACTAGTCAATGCCTCGTGATAAATTCTGGGGTCTAAAAGTCCAGATTGGGTTTATATAATAGTTCTACATAGTTAAACTATTTTACCCTTCTTGCAGCCCTTGACAAGCAAAACACAAACTGTCACAATTCTATGAACTTCCTGTTTCAGGCTTTTATTTTGATAAATTTCTGTCTACCATTAAAGTAATCAAGGACTCTGTAATTAAGACTCAGGCTAATGTTCACAACTGCCAGACTGTTTTCAGAGAAGCGCCCAGGATGACTCACCTGCACTTCAGCCCAGTGTGCACGATCCACATTTACATGTTTTTCATAGTGTTTCCATGCTGCTTGGCTGAGTTATTCCTCCGTGGTTTGTTTCCTTATAGTTTCTGGTCAGTGTTCTGTGTCAAGTTCTCTGTTTTCATTATTTATTTGTGGACTCTGGTATTTTCTTTCCAGTTTTACGCTTCTGAACAAACTCACGCATATTACTTTTTGTTCTGGTTCTTCATCTGCTCCATTGTTTAATACTTTTGGCCTAGTCTGTCTGTGTCTGCAGCACAGTAACAATACCTTTATTCTTGTAAATAGAATTTGCACTTAGCTAACTGTCTGTAACTCTATAGTGTGTTCTCCCTACTGCCTGTTAGAATATTGGATTTGTGTTGTGTATTTATCTCTCCTGCTTTCGGTATTGTTGGTCGTATTGTTTGTCAGTCTTCGACCTGTCTTCAGGAAAACCTTGTTTAGTTCTTTTCATTCTAGCATAAGAAAACTGCCTTAGCCTTTGTGTTCCACATATATGCAGTAAGGTCTATGTTAAAGCTCTAGTTTATTTTGCCTCACCTCCTGCCCTAGTGGTCTTTTGTTTAGTTTAAATGATTTCTGTTTTGAAGAAAGTATTGTGTTTACTATTTATATTGCTTCTCTGTGTTTCTGCATTTGGGCCCTCATTCCAAATATTATAACTGGACACAACAGAGGCCAGCTGGACTAGTGATGATTAGATGTTTAAGTCACTGCAGCAGCTTTGATTTCAGTGCACTGAAGCAACTGTTTTAGTGAACTGGGCTGAATCAAGTTGTGCACAAGGGACACTGGATTAAAAGATTTATGCTGCAAAGTACTTCATCCCAAAGCGCATTCGAGCAAACTACAATACAAACACATACAAACAGCCTCAGTAAGAAACTTGCTCTCAGTCCTCATTTTGTGACAGGATTTGTTATTTTTCCTGCCAAAGCAACCGGTATCAAAAATACATGCTCTCAGTGCAGTGTAGAAGTCTTTGTTTAGTAGCTGGTCAAATGGCAAATGTGAGGTTATGTCACAGGATAGGAACCTGGGGAAATGTTTTAATTATGGCCAAAAAACACTAGGAGTCAGACAATCATACACAAAGAAAACAAGCTGGAAATCTTGTCATATTACCTACCAGTTTATATGGAAGTAATACTGAAAGTAAGTGTAATAAACTGAGTGTACAGTGGCTTGAACCATGAATTCTGTCTGTATACTGACTGGTAAATTTGGCCATGCATTCTTGTTGCTCCATTGGACTTGTTTTTAGCTAAGCTGGCATGTTCCACAACCTTAGATTTTACTGTGAGTACAGTATTACCTTAACTGATACAACCAATGGGCAAAGCTTTAAAATGTCAATCCATATTATAATAAGCTGCAGATTTTCTTTAACCATAATGGTGTTTATTTGAATGAATCCTATTTGAAGTTAAATGTTTTGGTGGAACAAATTATTAGCCTGGAAATTAGACACAAAACCTTAAAGGCCACTTGTGATAAATGAACTCAGTACAGTGAATTACACAGTACCTTTAGCTCAAATGATCAGTTTTACTTTCATACAATGTATTTTCCTCATTGAAATGGGTTTTTGTGTGTGCTGGTGTCATAATTTGTTTATACAAGATGAAAGGCACACATGAAGTAGGATACAAACATCAATTCACTGGTGTCCTAATTCATTCTGAGTGCTGTGACAGATTTTATTTTGTGAGCAGCATAACTGGAAACCAATGCATTCAGTCAAGCACCGACAAAATGGCTAAATGGTAAAACCTTCCCTCGGGACAACTGAAGTACTGTAACTGCATTGTTCCAGTAATGAAACATTAATTGCTAGTACCTCACACTTTGCCCAGCACCCCCACCTTCCACCCTCTCTCTCTGTCAGAGCACTCACCTCCCAGCTCTTCTGTGGAGATGCTGGTGAGCTGGAATGTTTCGCTGCTGTCCGTCAGGGGGCCGCTCAGGTAGTTGTCTGGATAGAGCAGGCCTGCTCGCACATGGTGGAATGGCATCTTCTCCCTGCAGAGCACACACACACACACACACACACACACACACACAGAGTGAGAGAGAAAGAGACAGAGTCTAAATAAACTGTGCATGTATACACGTATAAGAATAAGGATAGAAGGATGTGTGTTGCATGTGTATTCAAATCCTGGCTACCAGCACGGTCATGAGCCCTTTTTAGAGACACAAGCTCCTATGGAGAGAATATTGTTTCTTCCACTCTGCTAATACTTATTTCTGGGAGAAACTGCTGTCTACTCATGGCAGCATCACAGTGACAAATTATGTAATCACATTATAATTCAGTGGAGTCACAAAAATGTATTCTACTGTAATTGCTTTTATAAATACCATTAGAGTACAATCAGGAACTCTGTATTTCCTAGCAATATTTTCTTGCTGTCTTTATCCTGCTTGTTTTTTGTATAGTTCTAGCTCTAAAGTCCTGTCACCTCCTGAACATGTTTGGAAGCTCTGTTGACTTCCTGTCCTGACAGACAATCCCCATGGCTTCCCAACATCTCACCAAGAGACCTCAGTGCTCGACAGGACATCAGTCAGCCATGACCCCTGCCGTTGTATGATCAGAGCAGTTCTCTGCTGTGATTCATGAGAGTTGCCTGACAGCTTTCCCAGTGTAATATTTCGACACTTTAACAATATGCTTCATGTAATATTCCTGCCAATAGTACATGCTGAACTGAACTGAGGTGAGGAAAGGAAAGAAATATAGGGAAGAAGGAAGGAAGAAAAATACATCCTGAAAGTATTTCTTGAGCAGGCTACTGGCAGACAGGCAAGCTAAAGGAAGAACTGGGGATGTTTCTGTCACAAGAGACATGTACAAGTACAAACAAGCACTCTCCTCTCCTCATTGTTACTGGATACTTAGTGTAAATCCTTTGGTTATCATGGAATCAGAGCCAAGGTAGGAAAAGGACACAGACTGAGCTTAGAGACTATGGCAGTGTAAAAGGTAAAGAGCTGTGGGATAGGTGCAAGTCTGCTCTGGTGACCTGTAGAGGACACCAGGTGTAAAAATGAGAGCAAGCAGTGTGTGCAGAAAGGTGTGTATGTGCACATCATCTACTGCCTCTCATCTTGTACCACCTGCAGGTCACCACAGCATCATGTGTCTGGTCTAGCTATCTATCTAAGATGCAAGGACAAACACACATGCTAAGGTCTCATTGTTACATTATTTTACTGAGAGCAAAGATTAAAGACTTTAAGCTTTAATAACTGTAATGTTTCTAATCTACCAGTAATATTATAATGTCAGCTCCTGTTAGTAACTTTAGGTAGATGTTGAAACAGGAAGCAACAGGGTTTATATGAAAAGAACTGTATGTACTGTACATATGCAGGTACTGGAATAGATATTTTAGAAATATGCAGAAATGGTGTTTTATTGGTCGTTAATATAATTTCCATTAGGACTGCTCATGGGATGGTCAAACATCTTCAGAAACCCCCAACTTACACACCTTTCTGGCTATGGACTGGGAGAACTGTGTCCGAACATTTTTGCAACTTTGTAAAAGGGACATTCATACCCACTTCACACTGTGATTGGCCTGTGCTGAGCTGAGGAAGGAACCAGGGCTTTTGCTTCTCTCTCTAGCTCTCTTTTCTCCTTCTTGACATAACTATTTCTGTCACTTTTCATGTGCACAACTGAGTACAACACACTTGAATGTCTTCCAGGTGAGGCTGTCAGAAAATGTACACCATATTGCATCTCCCCTCTCTGTATGATGAGCAACTTTTCAACCTGCCTTTGGCTGTGAACTGCCAGTGTAGTTGACAACATGGACACCATGTCATACTGTACAAACTACTTCTTTTCCAGCATAACATGTTGGCATGTACAGTGGGTACAGAAAGTATTCAGACCCCCTTAAATTTTTTCACTCTTTGTTATATTGCAGCCATATGCTAAAATCATTTAAGTTCATTTTTTTCCTCATTAATGTACACACAGCACCCCATATTGACAGAAAAACACAGAATTTTTGACATTTTTGCAGATTTATTAAAAAAGAAAAACTGAAATATCACATGGTCATAAGTATTCAGACCCTTTGCTCAGTATTTAGTAGAAGCACCCTTTTGAGCTAATACAGCCATGAGTCTTTTTGGGAATGATGCAACAAGTTTTCACACCTGCATTTGGGGATCCTCTGCCATTCCTCCTTGCAGATCCTCTCCAGTTCTGTCAGGTTGGATGGTAAACGTTGGTGGACAGCCATTTTCAGGTCTCTCCAGAGATGCTCAATTGGGTTTAAGTCAGGGCTCTGGCTGGGCCATTCAAGAACAGTCACGGAGTTGTTGTGCAGCCACTCCTTCGTTATTTTAGCTGTGTGCTTAGGGTCATTGTCTTGTTTGAAGGTGAACCTTCGGCCCAGTCTGAGGTCCTGAGCCCTCTGGAGAAGGTTTTCGTCCAGGATATCCCTGTACTTGGCCGCATTCATCCTTCCCTTGATTGCAACCAGTCGTCCTGTCCCTGCAGCTGAAAAACACCCCCATAGCATGATGCTGCCACCACCATGCTTCACTGTTGGGACTGTATTGGACAGGTGATGAGCAGTGCCTGGTTTTCTCCACACATACCGCTTAGAATTAAGGCCAAAAAGTTCTATCTTGGTCTCATCAGACCAGAGAATCTTATTTCTCACCATCTTGGAGTCCTTCAGGTGTTTTTTAGTAAACTCCATGCGGGCTTTCATGTGTCTTGCACTGAAGAGAGGCTTCCGTTGGGCCACTCTGGCATAAAGCCCCGACTAGTGGAGGGGTGCAGTGATCTTTGACTTTCTACAACTTTCTCCCATCTCCCGACTGCATCTCTGGAGCTCAGCCACAGTCATCTTTGGGTTCTTCTGTACCTCTCTCACCAAGGCTCTTCTCCCCTGATAGCTCAGTTTGGCCGGACGGCCAGCTCTAGGAAGGGTTCTGGTCGTCCCAAACGTCTTCCATTTAAGGATTATGGAGGCCACTGTGCTCTTAGGAACCTTAAGTGCAGCAGACATTTTTTTTGTAACCTTGGCCAGATCTGTGCCTTGCCACAATTCTGTCTGTGAGCTCTTCAGGCAGTTCCTTTGACTTCATGATTCTCATTTGCTCTGACATGCAGTGTGAGCTGTAGGGTCTTATATAGACAGGTGTGTGGCTTTCCTAATCACGTCCAATCAGTATAATCAAACACAGCTGGACTCAAATGAAGGTGTAGAACCATCTCAGGGATGATCAGAAGAAATGGACAGCACCTAAGTTAAATATATGAGTGTCACAGCAAAGGGTCTGAATACTTATGACCATGTGATGTTTCAGTTTTTCTTTTTTAATAAATCTGCAAAAATGTCAAAAATTCTGTTTTTCTGTCAATATGGGGTGCTGTGTGTACATTAATGAGGAAAAAAATGAACTTAAATGATTTTAGTATATGGCTGCAATATAACAAAGAGTGAAAAATTTAAGGGGGTCTGAATACTTTCCGTACCCACTGTATATGTAGGTATTACAATTTTATGCATACATATTGTTTATGTGCACATGAATGCATTCATATAAAGGTTTATTTTTGGATGTATTACCGCAGAAATTATAAAGCTTTTATTGCTTGTGCATGTTTACATTCCCTTTGCACAGTGATGATAGGGAGAAGAAGAGAATGATTTTTATTTACAGCACAATATATATAATTTGTCAGCCATGTCTACAGTTGACACATATATGCAGTATTTGATTTATCAGCAATTATATTTAAAAGTGAATATATTTAAGAAAGAAATGAATGATTCACAGTGAAACATGATCAGTAAGCCACAGCAGGCTGAAAGCCTTGAACTTTCTAAGCCCACAAATTAAACAGGATGCAGCAATGATTTAATCAGTGGACAAATTAATAAGACATATGATATGAAATCAATATGAGAATGTATTTCCACAGTCCATCTGTTCTCACAATTGTTCCCCTGACAGAAACACCCACTCACTCGTGGAAAAAAATCAGCAGACAACCAAACACATACATCAGCCTCAGTCACACGCTGATTCTTTTTGTTTTCTATCTCTCTCTGTCTCTCTCACACTCACTGTCATTTTTCCCATATATTGATGGATTGTGTTTTTTTTCCTCACACAAAAACACAGACTGTTGTCACAGAGATGGACATAAAAGCTGACAAGGACAAGCTTTAGCAGAAAACCACCATCTAATAAGCCTCATCGTCTGGCTGAGTGCAGGAGAAAGAGTGGTGGAAAGAAAGAAAGAGAGGTGGGTGTGTGTGTGTGTGAGAGAGAAGATGGGGGGCAAAGGGGATGAAAGGAGCAAATGAAAGTGGGCTGAATGACAGTGTTTGAACTGTGAGGTCATATGCACCTAGGGAACCTAGTTTCAAGTCTACAGCACAGTGATCAAAACTAAATTTGGCTCAGAGAGAAGATAAGAGACTGAGATGAAGGGAAAGGAGCAACCCAGCCAAAAATTGGCAATGGGGATAAAAAGGCAACTCAGTATTTTTTCCTCACCTCCCTCTGTCCCCATGGACAGACATGCATTAGCAGAATATCAGCAAAGGAGCTAAGAGGCAGCTACAGTATTTTCCCCAACAGCACTTGTACACTGCTGCATCACAAGCAGGCAGCACTGACAAGACATCAGTGTTTACAGAATCAAGGCTTTTCTACCAAATCAGAGGAAACAGGTAGTTGCTGCTGCCGCAGGCACCAGTCTACCATAAAAACATGCAAAACTGTGCAATTTAGGTTAATCCAAGGACTGATATGCTGCAGATCTGTTAGCTGGCTACACGGGCTTCAGAACAATTCAACAAATTATTCTTTTTACTTCCAGCCACTACAATGTCTGTTAGCTGTCTGTGTTTTCTACGGTTTTAGAGATAGGTCTCCTGCTGCCTGCCAAAAATAATGAGAGGCCACAGTTGATCAATCAATCAAATTTTATTTTTTTACAGAACCTTTCATACACGTTAGTGCAATTCAAAGGGCTTTACAGATAAAAGATAATACAGCAGAAAAGTTTAAGCATCAGTGCCGGATAATCTGAAGCTCTGTGAGAACGCACAAAGACAAACAATACAGTCATAACATGCATCAGTGAGGGACATTTATTAGCTCAACAGGCATCCATCAATAAATTAGCTTCTTATTAGTTTCATAACTAGATCAGTGATTACTGTACTAATGCTTTTCTGTTTCTGCTCAGTGTCAGTGTCCTACTGAAGTCACCTTGGGCAGACAGGCAGCCTCCACACAGCTGTGGTCTCTGCTGTCTCTCTCACTCATCAGGGCTGTACTCTGAAAACATTTCCTCTGCAGAGGAATGGATACATGGGCTACCCTTTATGCGGCCTCTGGCCATCTCTCCCAGAGGTCAACCTGGGTCATCCAACACATTCTTGTATCTGATCCCACAATCAGCGCCAGTTAAAATGCTCTGGTGCTTCACCACAACCTGGGTAGATGAAACGTAGATGAGTCTGTAATCATCTGTCAGGTCTGAAATGGCCTGAAATGATGCTTGTTGGGTCTTTAAAAAGTTCCACCCCTCAGAAAAATAGCTGGATACCCATGATGGTCCTCAACACTGCGCACATCTGCAGCAGAGGGAGCGCAGCTGGACTCAAGCCACCTGCTGATGCAAACTGGTGCTACATGTCACCCTCACTGCATTGAGAATGAGGTTTCCAACAATTAAAAAAACACTCATGCGCGCTATCCCCCAAAATGCTCGCACCCTCACGGCCCATTATCACACATGAGCTAACACCCGCCATCCGTTACTATCCACAGGCGGCTCTCCTCAGATGTTGAATGTGTGCGAAGCAGGTGACAGATTTCACCACTGTTTTATGACTGTGGAGTTTTAGAGCATCTGGCAAAGGGAATGAATACAAGTGGGCTTTAGACTGCAGCCATTCCCCATTTATCAGAACCAGTGTATGTGAACTGTCACAGCCTGAATGAACCAGAGAAGGGCTGATGAAGCTACAAAGCATGATCTACTGTGTGACTGAGCACTTTACATTCAGCTGTGTGCTGGGACAATTATATTGTAATTACACTTATAGCAACTGTGTGTTGGATCTATAATCACACCGATCAAACCCACACAGCGCGCACTGACGCACACAACGCACACACGCAGCTGGAAAGATTGTCATGAGCAGTTGAAACAGTGAATACTAAATGCAAATAGATACACAGGCATTTTGTTGTCAGGTTGTCAGCCATTAAAACAACAAGACTTTCAACACATAGAGAGAGGTCTGTTTGCACACGCGCACACGCTCACGCACAAGCACGCTCGGCACATTTACACAGATTACAACAGGTGCAGCGGCTCTGCGGCCATCAGCGGGGCTGACGCATGGGCGTTCGGTCGCGGTAATCACCTTTATCACACCAACCCAGCAGTGACACACTAATTAAACGACGGGGTAAATCGTACCTGTCTGTGGAACGACCGGTCCCACGGTGTGAGATTCACCCCGTTCGGTTAGAACACCGTTGGCGGAGACGCTGAGGGTGCTCTGAATAGCCAAGATGTGTTTAATCTGTTTGCATCCGTCCGGTGGTCTTGAGGAGTCCGTCCAACAGCCAAAGATGGACTCATTCAGTCTGTGTTTTGGACCTGTTCTCCGGGATTCACCAGCGTTTCATGTGCTCCAGACTTTTTAGGTAGTTATTTCAAAAATATCAACTGGTTAGGTGAGGAGGAGGTAGTGGGAGATTCTGTCCGTGAATAGCCTCCCATCCGTTTTCTACATCTCACTTCTCATCGCAATATCTTCAGAATTTGGGGTGTTATTGGGATGAAGCAGTGTAGAGTGCCAAACACCACCCAGACGCCACACAGCCGCCCACGGGTCTGGGTCTATGAACCGGTGCTGCTGCTGTCGCCGGTCGCCTCATAAAATAAATCACGATTTAAATTCAGTCGAATCACAGCCGCGAGGAAGAGAGGAGGCTGTCCAGTGAAAGCTTTGAGCGCAGATCGGCCAAACAGCAGAGGGGTGGGAAGGGATCTCCCGTTGCTCCGGGTACATTTATTTCAGCTACTCCCGGTGACAGAGTTAATTATCAGTCCACTCCGGTAAGGGAGGGGCCACATGGGGACCATGGTAGCAGAGGTGCGAGCAGGAAATATGCGACGATGGAGCGCTGGGAGCTCCCCGCAGGTGGGAGAGGGAGAGAGATAGCGAAAGAGAGGTAGGGAGGGAGGAAGGGGGGTAGGGAGAGAGAAAGAGAGTGTGAGGTCCGAGCAGTTAAGGTTTCAGTGGATCAGTGAAGCAACAGCATCTCCCCTGAGGAAGTCTGTGTGTTTTCATCTAACCATTCTTCACAGCGTTAAGAGTCATTGTAGACCAATTACGGTGCTCAGGAAGTGACATCAGCCACAGTAGGCTACTTAAATGGTGCAGTGTGTCTAATCCCCCTCCTTTTTTTTGTCTCCACAACCCCTCCTACAGTCTCTTTATTTTTTTTTCGTGGGTACGGCCTCAGGATTCATTGCACCTTCCTCCACTCAAAGCTCTTCTATGCCATTGTATTGTGACACTCTCTCTCCCCCGTTATCTCCTGAGCAGGCTGCATTTTCCCTTTTTGCCTCTGATTAGAATACCCCACCACTATCTAATTTACATCCGCACACTAATTATATAATAGCCTATGTGAAGCTACTGTTTCCCCAAGCAGACCCCAGCAGCTCAACTGCACTCTTAGACTTTAAGATTTTTGTCTCCCGCGCTGCTGCACTGTTATAATTTAAATTGGTTACAGCTACTTATTTAACAAACCAGTTTACTCCTATCCCGCTGATTGACAAGGATTAATATGTCTGTGTCTCTGGTTTAACAGTCTGGCTCAACACAAGACTGTTACTACAGGGAGACGAGGCTTCAGTGAAAAGTAACAACAACACAAGTGACTCATGAACATTTCACCCTGGTGCTCTAACAGTGTTGTGGGCTAATCTAAGAGCCCTGTAAAGGTTCTCAACAGATTTTCTTTAGATTCATAGAGAAATTGAACCCAGGTAAAGCAATCTGAGGTACAAACTGGCGAAATTGCTCTTTAATTCTCAAAGAAATAAAATGAGATGTTCTCTGCACATCATGCTTGCCCGTAGTGCTGATGTTCTGGTACTGTCCATGGTGCTGATGTTCTGGTGCTGTCCGTGGTCCTGATTTTCTGTCGCCGCCCGGGGTGCAGATTTTCGGCACTGTCCTTGGAACCGATTTTCTGGAACTGTCCATGGTGCTGATGTTCTGGTGTTGTGCATGGTGCTGATTTTCTGGCGCTGTCCGTGGTGCTGATGTTCTGGTGCTGTCTGTGGTGCTGAATTTCCAGCGCTGCCCGTGGTGCTGATGTTCTGGTGCTGTCTGTGGTGCTGATTTCCGGCGCTGTCCGGGGCGCTTATGCACGGGTGCCGACTCTGGCGCTGCCCGTGGTGCTGATGTTCTGGTGCTGTCTGTGGTGCTGATTTTCTGGCGCTGTCTGTGGTGCTGATGTTGTGGTGCTGTGCATGGTGCTGATTTTCTGGAACTGTCTATGGTGCTGAATTTTCAGCGCTGTGCATGGTGCTGATTTTCTGGAACCGTCCATGGTGCTGAATTTTCAGCGCTGTCTGTGGTGCTGATGTTGTGGTGCTGTGCATGGTGCTGATTTTCTGGCGCTGTCCGTGGTGCTGATGTTCTGGTGCTGTGCATGGTGCTGATTTTCTGGCGCTGTCCGTGGTGCTGATGTTCTGGTGCTGTGCATGGTGCTGATTTTCTGGCGCTGTCCGTGGTGCTGAAGGCCTGTTTTCAACTGCAAAGATGAGACTTCAGCAAATTTCAGTTACATTAATTTGTTCAAAGGCACAAGGACAGTCTCAGGAGAGAGTTGGAGGATATTTTCTTTTCATACATCATGTCTAATTCTATAATAAATAAATGTTATTTGATACAAATATCACGATATCAGGATTAATAAGTCCCTAGATCATAATACCCCAACCAGACACTTTATGACCACTTTCACAGCCAAAATCTTTTTCAATTTGTTTATAGAACACAAATAGCTGGGGGACAAATTAAATAAAACAACAAGAGCAACATATAGTTTTGGTTCAGTTTAACTGACTGTATAAAATGGAAGATATTAAAACACCCCACCACAAAAATGTTAATGATGACACAGTAAAGTGCAAGGCTTTTGTTTCTATTTCAGTCCTTGATAATGTAGGAGGTCTAGGTGTGATCATACTACTGAAAAACTAACAAAGTGCCAAAAGCAATAAAAATAAATGAGGTGCAGCTCATTGAGTAACATTTCAAACATAGAAATTTATCTTCTTTTCCTTAATGTTCATATTTGGAGCCAAAATACACAAATGGCTTCTAATATCTCAAAAATTAATCCAGGAGCTAGACCTTTGCTTAACTGTGCAATGTGATTTATTTGGTGAGTTATTTTAAATGTTTGGTGGCTAGAACAGCAGTTGAAATGTTTGCTAGTGTTAGTGACTGTTTGATAATAGTTTGTCTGAATTAGCCTGAATTATTAAGAGAGTAGATGAATGGCTGTGTTGGGTGTGTGGGTGCAGGCAAAGAGGGGGGTGGTGGGACACTGGAACACACTGTTGAGCCTTCTTGGTGCTGTGGGCTCAACTCAACAAAACATCAGTTAGTGATAGGGTGCTGATCTGATGACCTTGTAGACTTAACAATGGTTTAATGCTGCTCCCCTTGGCCTGATTTAATCTCAGGAAAACTTTAACTAGGATCCAGAGCTGCAATGACTTGCTGATTCACAGATCTGTTGATCAAAAAAATATTTATTTTTTAAGCAACTATGCTAGAAATCATATCACCTTCATACTCATCAAACCATTCAATGACCCCTCTACTCTTTTTCCCATATTATCAGCCATCAGTAGGGTTCAAAGGTACAGTTTGAATGTTCAACCACTATTGCTTCTATTTTATAGCAGTGACTACAAAATATAAAGTGGTTGCCAACAATAGTGTAGTCCATCTGCTGTCCGAAGTGTCCACTCGGCAGAGCTGTGCAGCAGGTTTCAGGATTGGTAATGACCTAAATCTCTTGGTGAGTTGAGTACAATTTTCTCAGGTGCTGAGAGATCTAATTTATAGATTTTTTTAGGTGGTGGTGAGTCAGTCATACACTGTTGGTTAAGCAGAAAACATGAGACATTTCAGTTCATTCATAAGGATAGAAAACACTGTCACATAATCATAAAATATCAGCAGCTCCTCTTTGTGTTTCCTTCCATACAAACTGCTCTGCTGACTCAAAGAACATGACTTATTTTCAGCATCATGATTCACCGTGGTGCACTTCCCTGCTGACTGACTAATACACTTCACCCTGAGTATTACATGGTTTCACACATTTGAATCCTGTCAACTGACCTGGCAGAACTGACAATTGGAAAAACCATAGGCTGCACAAATATAAAGAGAGGAATCATGGGAGGATGTCTAAACCATCAAACAGAGCCACAGGAACACAATAACCTGGACTCTGATCTCACAACAAATCAATACAGGCAATACTGTCAGCAGTCAAAAGTAGCTGCCCTATAATGTTTGCTCTGTCAGAGCATTTATTGCTTAGTAATAGAGATATGTTTCAATCCTGTTTCCTGAGCTTAAATAACTAAATAAATGAGACCATGACCAAAGCATAGCCTGAAGTGACAGACTTCACACTATATTTTTATAATTATAAGACAAAGAAGAGGGCTAAGAAATATAAAGGAATTATGTGCAAGACTTGAAACACAAGTCAAGTGAATTTTTAGATACATAAAATAACAGTATTAAATGGGCCACATTAAAAAAGAAAAAAAAAAACAAGTCAGAATGCATTTATAGGTCGAAAGAGTCTCTGCTGAGGCCTCAGCACAGCAGTCTTCTAACCAAGAGCATTTTAAAGTTCATGTTCAGTTATGGCAATTTATTTCCTCCATGAGAGTGAAAGGTGATGATAATGTGCTGTTTTAATAGCCCCTTCAAAGTGACATTTATCAAAGTGAAAGAATTATCTTGAAGGGAGCCAAAGTTTGTTATTTCATTTGAGTCTATGGTGATAAAACTCAAATGGGAGATTATGGGAAATGAACTGTAACTCTCTGTCTCTAAGCTACAGTGCAAAGTTGTAGAAGACACCATCCTCTACTGTGTGTTCATCTGGTGCTTTATACGCTTATGTAAATTTTATCTATGTTGTAAAGTTGTAACTGGCAGAGTGACAGTGCCTTGATTTTGCTTTCTGGCAGCGGAAATCTGGCAGCCACAGGAACATGAGGGAGCGGACCTGATCACAATCCTGCTGTAAAATAAATTCAACATTTTTCAAAATCCAACTTAATTTCAGTGGCATTTAAATACTGTCATCATGCGTTCCACTCCACATCTCTGCCATGCATATTCCATGTCCTGCGGCAGCGATGACCTTAAGTGGCGAAAAACAGGAGCCTGATAGCCAGAGTTTTGCACTGTAAACTTACTGAAATTAAATTTTAAAATCCTAAGCAGGTGTATTCACATCCACCTATGTATTAGCCATGACTGTGAACAGGATCAGATACTAAAACGATCAGCAGATAAATGTGATGTAGCATGTTTGTGTGCTTATGTGTCTGCATGTGAATAAGGATAATAAGGATAATCACCTTTATTGGCCAAGTATGTTACACACAAGGAATTTGTTTCCGGTACAGAACCATCTGCGGCGCCAACTCAACCAATGGCTCTAACCATCGGGGGCAATTCAGTGTCTTGCCCAAGGACACTTCAACACGTGGACTGCAGGCACCGAGATTTGAACCTTCAACCTTCTGCTTGGGAGACGACTGCTCTACCCACCGCACCACTGTCGTAAATGAATAAGACAAAATATGCACGTGAGCAAGAAACTGATTAAGAGAAATCCATGGTAAACAGGTGAATGCTGAAACTGGACGTGCCTTACAATATATATAATTCAGTCACAGCTTAACAGTTCAAAGTCCAACCCGCCAAACAATAAGCTTAACCATGTGAAAATCATTAGTCTCAAACTGCTCCTCACATACACAAATGAATATGCATCCTGTTAAACGTACACTATACTCTCATGAGCTGGGGGTAAAACTTCAAGTTCCACAGGGAAGGTATGCCTGCAACACCACATGAATAATGCAGCACTGACTGGATTTAACATCC